ACAACTCTGTACAAGTAGAATGTATTGTCCAAAAACAAGTTCCTGAAATCTCTTAGTTCAAACAACAAGGTTAATGTTTTTTTGATGAATTTCTACTTTTCATTGTTTTCTTTAACTGTTGATGGTATAGCTATATCATTTAAGTTCCTCAGTGATCTAAGTAGTATTTTAAGTACCTCAACTTTGAGCAATGTATTTTGCTAAGTAACATCTTCAATAAAGAGGTAATAAGACATAATAATAATAGATAATTGATACCACTGTCTTCTCAATTTTGCACATTAAAAAACCTGATGCGTGGAAAAGTTAACTTGCTGCAGGAGATCTCTCTTCAAAGCCTACTTTAAACTCCTGCATTGTACTCTACCACAGCCAGGCTGTGACTTTAAAACTGGCTTAATTAGTAAGGAAATGGATGCTGCCTAACAAATATACTCATTGCATGGGTAAGGTCAATTGAGTGTGCTGTGTAAAGCCGAAGGCTCTGCTGCTATACCCCTGTTCTAATCAATCCCAACTGGGAAGCACATGTCAAGGGCAATGATCAGAGCAAAACTAAGTCAAGGGCAGCAACTAAGAATAAAAATGACATCTTAATTTTTAAAGGTTATCAATTCAACAAATAACAAATGATCAGAATCAAGTATATTATCTCCCATGAAATTGATGCTCATTCAGTGCTGGGTGGGTGACTGACCCTTTCTGGAGATGTGGCCCCTTTAGTATCTGCTCAAAATAAGGTTCTCTGTCATCAAACCATCTCCCACACAATGCTCACCTGTTATGAAGCTTATGGTGGAACTGTCACAACAGCTCAGTTCTGGCTCTCCCCATGTCACCATGGTTACCCGGAAGTTGTAGTACCACGCTGGCAACAGATTAGCTATTCTCTGAATGGGGCAAAAAAGCAAAGAGACAAAGGACTAAGAGGAAAGTAATATTTTTGGAGTAGTGCATTTTCATTGGGTCATAATAAAATTTTTATTTTCCTTTGTGTTTTGTATTTGTAATTCTTTCTGAAGTGAGCCATAATAAAATAAAATACAAAACTAAAATTTTTTGAAGATGATTCAATGATAAACAAACAAATATTTCCAATTTTGGCTTCAGTCTGCAATTTCCTAAATTTTAAAACACAGTGAAATAGCACTTGTTTGTAAGTAACCATACATGTACTTCTCCCTATTTATTAGACAAGTGACCTCTCACAAGTCTGTATTCTTTCAACATGGACCATGAGCCAGAGTCTTGTTGGGTGATAACTACTACAGACCTCACAGGGTAGAGGATAATTGTTATACTTCACGAGTAACTTGCAGGTAACCTATACTTAAAAAAATTATTTAGTCTCACAGAGAAAATCATTTCTAGTTTTGTGAAAACCATTCTGTAATGACCCAGTAATCTAGGTATTGAACCAATTTGTAGATTCCAGAAAGAGTCATCACTAGAGTTAAACAGGGTCAAATAACTATTGAAGGCCTGAGGGAAACCTTTTGTGTTTTCCTCCTTAGGACCAGAGAAGCACAATAAACACTTTCTAAATCTATTCTGCTTTGGGCAAATGCAATAAAAAAAAAATGTTCATTGACAAATTCCATTGAGGGGGGAAAGGTAGTTTCACAAAATTCTCTCTCTTAAAAACAAAAATAGAACCTCAAATACCCCAAACCCTAAAAGCAAAAATAACTAAAAGCCTTGAAAATAGCAAACTACCTCTGTGTGTTTACAAAATGATCTGATTTACAAATCACTTCTTTGTGACTCATCTGTCGACCTAGGGAAGTGTGACAGCTGGTTAAGGGGCCATTACCACAGACGCAGTTAGGGAGACCGTCGCTGCTATTTCATAGTAGGTTGTCCACTCCGAAGTCATTGTTGCAGGGTTGAAATAAAACATCTCAACCACGTATTTTCTGAACACTCCCAAGTAAGGTCTGGTCCAGCTCAGGACCACTGCCGTCGGGCCCAAGGGATAGAGCATTAAATCCTTTATTCCAGTGGGAACTAAAAAGAAGAAGGGTAGGGAGTAAGGATAGAAAGCCGAGAAGATGTGTTGAATATCTCAGCCATGGCTTCAAACTTCTACTTAAAAATAAGGCTTTTACCCTTCTGACAAAATAATTGAAAGCCAAAGTAAATACATTTGCATCTGATTTTTCCCCCCAAGTAGTAAATGCTAAGGATGGACTAAGTGTTCAGTTCTAGTCATTCCTTACAGTAAGCCCTGTGTATCAGTGGGTGCCACATCTGTGGGATTAACCAATCATAGATGGAAAATATTCTTCCCTCAAATTCATCTGTGTAAAAATGACTTTTTTTCTTGTCTTCATTTCCTAAATAATGTAGTATAACAACTCTTTTCACAGCATTTTTATTGCACTAGGTATTATAAGTAATATAGAAGTGGTTTAAAGAGGATGTATGTAGGTTATATGAAACTACTATGTCATTTTATAGGAGGGAAGTGAGGATAGCACGATTTTGGCATCTATGTTTGCACATTGCACCCCTCCAACCAGTAGTCTGAGAAAGATAAGTCATTATTCTTGTTGCTAGGAACTTACCAATGGCAAATGTCACAGGATCCGAAGGTGGTCCAATCAAAGGGCCTTTCCTTAGGTACATCACAACCTGGTACTGGGCACCAGGAACCAGATTTTCAATAATAGGTTTGCTTGAGTTCACCTATAAACCAATAAGATTTATTTAGAGATGGGCTTTCAGAGTGGGATTTGCAGAAGCTTATGTGGTATTCAGAGCCTCTGAGGAACCACAGTGACTTTGAAATCCAGAAGCCTTTGCTTATGCTGGGAAAGGTCAGATTTCAAAATTAGGATGATTTATAGTTTATGTGAACCCTGAAGGGAACCCAGAACATTCCAATTCTATGGCTGGATTTAATAAGCCCCATGAACTGCTTTATATGCATCAATGTCAATTGTAGCCCTGCACACTAGAGACACATCAGCCTCTAACCATAATCAAATCAGCAATACCATAAGGACAGTCTGACATGCTAAATTGTAGTGTCAGCTGATTACATGCGAAGATCAGTGCAGAAATGTCTTTAGTTTCTCGTCACTTAGAAGCACATAATATCTAATTATAAAGATGGAAATGACCTCAGAGATTATCTAGTTCAAATCACTCATTTAATAGATTGAGAAAGTAAAGCCAGAGAATGGCCAAGGTCACATACTGAAACTCACTGTTGGCAATAGAAGCTTATTGTTGGGACCTCTAATCTGTGGGCAAGTCACTGGCAGAATGTAGAAATACAGCAGTAAGCACTTTGCAAGTCTGTTGGTAACCTTATAAAATAATGTTATGGAGAACGTTTCTCATTTAGATGAGCTCCTTTTCACTTAAAAAAAAAAACAACTACTGATTATGTAACAAATGCCATATGGAGTCCAATAGTGACAATGTATAAGATGAACAAAATGGATTTATTAAAGTTGCATGTTGAAATGCACATGGATTTATGGTTCAACTAGTGGTTAGGAAGTGAGCTATTTTGACTTCAGTGCCTCTAATATTTAAGATGATCTTCCTTAATGGGAAGAACACAGGTTCTCTATTCAGGCTGCCTGACATCAAACTCTGTATATGCCTGGGGATTTTCTCATATATTATTTAAACTTTTTACCTCAGTTTCTTCATTGATAAAATATAGATAATAATATCACATATCTCATAGAGATAAACCAGAATATCAAGAAATATTAACTCTTATAATCAAGTTTTTTTGGCACCTGGGATATAAAATTGCAGAATCACTGCAGGAAGGAATACAAATTAATGAGAACAGTATTGTTAATAGTTTATCTATACTGTAATTTTTAAATTTATTTTTTATACATGTCACATTTTATTATTCATTAATCTGTTGATGAACACCTAGGTAGATTCCATAAATTGTCATTGTGAATTGTGCTGCAATTAACATGGGTATGCTTGTATCTCTAAAGTAGGCTCACTTTAATTCTTACAGATAAATACCAAGGAATGGTGTAACTGTGTCAGAGGGTGATTCCATTCTTTGTCTTTTGAGAATGCACCATACTGATTTATAAAATTTTTTTTTAGTTGTAGATGGACACAATACCTTTATTTTGTTTATTTATTTATTTTATGTGGTGCTGAAGATTGAATCCAGGGCCTCACACATGCTAGGCAAGCACTCTACTACTGAGCCACAACCCCAGCCCCTAAACTCTAATGTTTTTAAAAGTTTCATTAAGATTTTTTAGGATAAACATATAACTGATGTTATAAAGTGTATTTTAATCTCTTCTAATATCAGAAACAAATTATAAATGGTAGAAATTGTGTAATTTAATTGGTACAAAATGCTTTGTACAAAAGCAGTCGGAGCACCACACCAAAATTCCCATTTCATTGGCTTGACCAAAGTGAGATTAAATCTGATTAATAAATTAGCTCTTCTATCCTTTCTTTTCTATTTACACTCTTTTGTATCAGTGTTTTTTGCTCACATTTTAGATTTTCAATTTTACTGGGGACTTACACACAAAGGGACTCAGGTGTCCTTAGCTGATAGTGAATTTTCTAAAGAGACAATGTGAATGAGAACATACATTTTATATGTAACTAAACAGGACTATTTCATATCTTTGAAATATATTCTAAGTTGGATGAGGCAGCACCTGCCTATATCCCAGCTACTCAGGAGCCTGAGGCAGAAAGATGTTAAGTTTGAGGGCAGCCTGGGCAACATAGTAAGATGTCTAAAATCAAACAAACAAATTCTAAGTGGCAAAACGAACACATGCTCATTATAAATATTGTTCCCACAGCAGAAGAGTAAATGACATAAATTGGAAGTCTTTTCTGTTCTTATTCCACAAGTCCTGATATTTTGGCAGGAATTCTTCTAGACTCTCCTCTAGCACATATACGTCAATAATATGTTGTGGAGCCATGTATGTCTTATATTACGAACACCGCTCCGAACTCTTCATTTGAATTCTACAGCATGTTATAAACTTCCCACTGTACCAGTAAATGCCAACTTAGATCAACAGTCACTCATTTTGCCTACTTAGAGTATTCAGAATTACACAGGATGTAAAGAGCTTAGATTATTTCAGAGTAATGTTAAAGTTTCTTCAGTTTAATATTTTAGGCTGTAGTTGATTCTAACTATTCAAAGAAATACATGGAATCATAACCACTTAAATATGCTGCTATACATTCATCCTGTTTGTCTCCTTTTCTCAAGATGGCTTCCATTCTCCTTTATTTATTTATGATTACACACACACACACACACACACACACACACACACTTCTTCACTTTAAAGAAAATGGTATTGCAAATTACTTTCCTTAGTAACAAAAAATTAGGAACACAAATGCATCCCTCATTTCTAAATATTTGCTACGCTGCCAGCTTATGTTTGTACTTCTACTACTCTTTGCCTATTTTTTATTTATTTATACCTGGAGAATAATTGTAGGTACCTGTGGGGTAAAATGTGATACTCTGATCGATCGATATAGATCACAGAAAGATTTCATCAAGTTAATTTACATTATCTGTTACATCACCAGTGTATCATTTTTTTTAGAAGTAAGACTGTTAAAAATCTATTTTAGCAATTTTGAAATATACTATACATGATTATTACTTGTGGTTACCATCAAGTGCTCACTAAAATGTATTTCTCCAGTATAATTGAAATTTTATAGCCTTTATTCAACATTTTCCCTTTTCCCATCTTCCTCCTCCTCCCTCCAATTTCTGATAACTAATAACTACCTTTCTTCTGTTTCTATGAAATTGAGATTTTTTTTAAAGATTCCATATATATGTAGATCCCACAGCATTTGTCTTTCAATGACTGCTTATTTCACTTAGTATGATGTCCTCCAGGTTCATCAATATTGTTGTAAATGATAGAATTTCCTTCTTTTAAAAGACTGTATAGTGTTCCATTCTGGGTATATACCACTTTTTCAGTATCTATTCATCTGTTGATGAATACTTAAGTTGACTCCATTTCTTGGCTACTTTGAAAAATGCTGAAATGAATGTGGGGTTGCAGAAGTCTTCTCTATATCCATTTCTTTTTATTTATCCTGGACCTCTTTAGACATGTGTTGAAGGCGGGAAAGGGAAATGCTCCTGCATTCTTCTTACTAAATAACATTAGCTTTATTCCCTACAAGATAACTCTATATTCCTTCCATCAATTTCCACCTATCTTAGCATTTCCGTATTTTTCTTGACTGGTTTAAGTTTCAATCTTGAGAACTCAGTTGAAATCAGTCTCACTCCAAATAGGCCCATTACTACCCCTCTTCAGCTCAAGAAATATGAGGGAAAATGTAGTAGAGAGCATGGTGGGAAGAAATATGAGATAGACTGTTAAATAGTGGGGTAGAGATATATTATAGTGACAGTTCTTCTGAGTCTGAAATGTTCTTATTCTATTGTGTGGTCCTTCCTCCATTAGCTCTTAGCTATACATATATTCCAGACTTTTCCATAGAGGACTCCAGAACTACTTCACCTCCCTTCATTGACTCAAAAAAACATCCAACTAAATATGGATAGTAATAAATGCTAATACTTCCTTTTATGCACTTACTATGTTCCAAATGCTGAATTAAACAAAGAGTCCTTTTATTTTTATCATAACTCCATAGGTAGAATTCACTTCTCCCCATATCACAGATGAAGACACCAAGACTTGCAGAGATGAACAAAGCTGCCCCGGTGTTCACTGTTAGATTCAGGTCTTAAACCCACACTTGTTCTGATGCTGGAGTTTGTGCTCTGGACTCTGTCAGGATGATGGTGAGGGTGAACCTCCTGTAAGGCAGCATACGCAATCCATAAAAACTGGCTGGGAATTCAGATCATTTGGATGTTGGCCACTGCTCTGATACTAACCAGCTATGTGACTTTGGGAAGGTCCCATAAATATTCTGTCTTTTACTTCTACCATTTCTTCATTTGATTGTCTTTCTGTCTGATTTTGTCATTAAGTTAGACATTCCTCTAAGTTGCCAGAACACATTCATGGACTAAGACCACACGTAAGAACTAATACACACGAATATGACTCTTCCTCCTTCTGAAAAGTGTGATTATGCACAAGTCTTTGGAGAGGATGCCGAGAGCACATTTACTCTGAAGAATTGTTCGAGTGTTTTACATCACACGGATTTAGCACTGACTTTATGTTCATCAGATTTGTAAATGGATAGTCTTACAATGGTGCTGGGAGAAATGTGTCACAAAACTCCTTCCTGAGAACATTTGCTTGCAACACACACACACACACACATACACACACACACACACACCATGAGAACACATTGGAAGGCCAGATTCTCAGCTTCATGAAATTAGGGTTCAGGTTTAAATTTGTGCTACCTCATATGACCCACCTTACACACAGTCACTAAGGAATCAGTGGAGTTAAAGGGTAGAGTAGGGACATTAGCAGTGAATCTTACAGATCACTTAGGTAATATAAAAAGCATAATCCTGAGGTACAGACAGTGGTTGAGCAATGTAAGTACAGTGAGACTACAGGAGTGAAACCATGGTGATGAGTGATGGTTGGAGTATCCCTAATCTGAAAACCCCCAATCTGAAATGCTCTGGAATCTGAAAACTTTTGAACACCAATGTTATCCCACAAGAGGAAAATTTCACACCATAAAACTTGCTTCATACACAAAACTATTAAAAATATTTTATAAAATTAACATCAACCTATTTGTATAAGTGATATATGACATAAATAAATTTTGTGTTTAGAATGTGGGTACCATTCATACAAGTCTCATTATGTCTATGCAAATATACCAAAATAAAAAAAAATTGAAATCTGAAATACTTCTGATCCTGAGTATTTTGAATAAGGGATTAACTTAGCTTAGATTGGCTTTAAAATCAATTTTATTTTAGAGCCATATTTTGATTTTCCTTTTGATATACATACAGTACCATTGAATATAAAGCTCAAGAAATATTATTTTTTTCTTTTGGGATAATGTTTGCTTTAAGAAATAAGCCAAAGCCAAAGTTAAACCAGCCCTGGTAAGATCATCTTTTAGATTTCTTTAGTTGATTGCTATATAACTCACAGCTGGTTCTTGAGCCTTTTTGAACTTTAGTTTCCTCATCTGAAAAGTCTGTGTGTGTGTGGGGTGGGGGGAGGATGGACTATGGTGGTATCCCCCAAAAGTCTCATGGTTACAAATGACAACTAGCCTAGTGTTCTAGCTCTTGCACTGCACTTTAATACTGGCCTCTGTGGCAGTCCATAACCTTTAACAGTTTCATGTTTGCATTTTGAAAGGGCACTGTCAAAGTACACTTAGACAAGACTTTTGTGGCTCATTTATAATTTATAATGTCTACCTGCACCTTCAGCTTTTGGCTTCTATGTGAAGGATACAGAATTTGTACATAGATGGAAATGTGCTTTGGACTGTTGAGTTCCAGATCACTGTAAGGGAAACCCATTCTTCTGCCAGTGGAATGGGCCGGTTATCCTGAGTGCTCTCAGCCAAGGCAGGTAGTGGGCTGCACAATGAGCTCTGATTACTAGTTAGTGGATCAGCACATTTACCCCTTAATTTAAGTCAAGGGGTGGGTTCATCCTCAAGTATGGCTTTATCTCAGCATCCTACTGCTTTTAGTGCTCTGAAGGTCACAATTCCGCAATCTCTCTTATTAATTTAAAATTTCTCACTGCTTGAATTTCACTACTGCCTAATTTTCCTAGGAGGAATGGGAACATCCTGAAGTTTCTCCACATGAATAGGTAATTTAATTGTTTTTTGCCTTTAGGGAAGAAAATAATATGTGAGATGCCAAAATTCATCTAATGTCACCATCTGGAAAAATAAAAGGAGATTTTTAGGAAAATAGAACAAGGCCTCAGGTTCTCAGGGCGACCTAGAGCAATGTTGCTCTCAACTCCTGCTGTCAAATTTCCTTCAGGACTCATGATCCGGTGTGCATACCCATTCTGTCAGCTCCTCACAGAACACCTCTCCACCTGCCCCTCACTATCCTTGGTGGCTAGTTAACTCCTATTTATCCTTCAAAACTCTTCTCAGCTGAGATGGGTGAGAAGGGAATTTTTTTTTTTTTTACTTTATGTACTTTTGAATTATTTTCTCCGTGAACACGTTTACTTTTATAATTAAAATAAAACCTAAAAGAATGGGGGAAAAAAAGTAAAATAAACAAGCAAAAGACAACCCAACTCCTGCTTGGTTGTTTCTCTCTTCCCCTGGGAAGGTTTTTATGACCAGTTTTTAAATGATCTCTCCTCTCAATCTGTTCCTAATGCCCAGCTCCTCCTGTGAACTCAAGAGACCTTTCTATCATTGACTTTGTGCATAGAGCTCATTCTATAAGGTGCAGTAATTCCTTGTTCACTTATCTGTTGTTCTCAGGAGATTATCTTGATCTCCAATATCTGTCCTAGTATTTGTTACATCTTAGGGTCTCAGCAGATTTTCTTGAACAAGGAATAAAAGTGAAAGGAACATGGGCTTCTATGAAAGATTAGAATATGACTGTAGCTAAAGAGCATACCCAGCTCCTCTGCTGGCTCTTGGTAATCCTGCCTCCAACACTCCTGCCCTCCCAGGGAGACCTCAGCGCTGCTTCCTGCCATTGTCACCTTGCTTTGCCAATGACACCGCTTTGGGTGCCTTTCCTTTACCTGAGTGCAGTACTGCTTTTCAAGCCTCTGGCTCTCCTTTTGTTTCTGGCAGGTCAGGGATACTACAGACACAATGGTGCTGTTGTAGTTCTCTTGGGAAGATGTCCAGGACATCAATGCAGTGGTTGAACTTAAAACATGGACGCTCACATGCTGGGGCTTCTCCGTCAATTCTTCAATCCACTCTCCTGTAGGACCTGAACATTTCAAATCAGAACATGAGCGAGCTTGCACCCTGAGCTGGTTGAGATCAAAGATTCTAGTCTAAACATCATGTTATTTTCCTGTGCCCTTAGAGAGGTACTCAGTGCAAGACTGGTGGTTGCTCTTTCCATCCTCTACCCAGTGACAGTCCTCAACTCCATCTCCCCACCATTCCAAACAGGAGCAGCAGCAGCAACAACAACAACAACAACAACAAAGGCAAATATAGTTTTACTGATGGAGAGAAGCTCCACTTCAGTTTGTCATATGCATCTGAGAGTATCCTGGTAACTTTTTTTTACCAGAGAGAATTTACTTTTCTTTTAACAAAGGGAGGGTGTGGCAGTGTAGTGTTTCATCAGTGTTCATAATTCCTTTGCTGTGAGGATCTTTGGTTTCTAGAAATAATTGCTTTGAGATTCAAATTAGTCTCTGCTACAATCCTGTGAAAAAAAAATTTAAATTTAGCATCAGCAAGAACAAAGAAGCAGACTGTGACTATATTAGACAAGAAATAGGAAACAGGCTAGCTCAATTAAAGAAGCAGGCTAAAACCTGGGCGGTATTTGAGGGATGGAGTGAGGTTCCTTGCTACAAAATATCTTCACAGAAGTGTCCGTCAGTAGCTTTGTTCTCTCCGGTTTTTGTAGTTCTTAGCACAGTGCCTGGTACATAGTAAGGACTTAAGAAGTGTTAAGGTGATTATTATCTACAGAAATTCCCCTTGAAATGCAAATTTGCAAGTAACTTCCTCTTCTTTGTTTAGGATGCATTTCACAGTCTTTTAATAGAAAACTGTATTCCTAGGAGGTGCTCTGCAGGGGTGGGGGAGGGCAGATTCAGGCTGAATGCAAATGGTGCAAAGGAAATAGTTCTTAAATGATAGTACTAGGCTCTGACTTAGTTTATATGTGATTATGTGTTTTAATCCTTGAATTCATCTAAAAGGCTTATGAGGTAAATACTAGTATTAAATCTTGCTTTTCAGAAAAAGAAACTGAGGAAGATATGAAGTAAATCATGTTGGGATTCACACACAAGAAGTCTGATTCAAAATCCATGTTCTAAACTCTGCATGTGGCTTCTTAGAGCCCTATTAAATAGTGAGAAGCTTTGGTTTGAAAGTAGTAAACTTGTCCCAGGCTTCCAGTATACTCATGACTTATGGTAAAACTTGGCAAACAATCTCATGTCTCCAAATCTCAGTCACTGCAAATGGACAAATCATGGAATATTGGAATAGAAAAGAACTTTAGGATCCAATGTCTTATGGGTGAGAAAAGAGGTTCCACAGACTTGACCAGTGTCACAGAGCTACTTGGGACCACGTCCAGACCTCCTGTCTTCTGAGTCAGTGGCTTTGGGACAAAATCTCCTGATGCCATCTGATTAATCTACTTGGCAAGGCTGTTGCTGTGTTAGAGAACCACGTAAATGTGAAGTGTTATTGCTGTAAGGCTACTGTCTTAGAGGGGCAGGGAGCTATAAAGTGGCAGGAAGCTCTTATTTCTTAGTTTTACATGAGAACTGACCTGATGGTCAGCAAGGTGAGGTGTCCCTGCAAGCTACATATTGCTAAATTCTAATCCCTGTTCTGACATGTGGGGAAGTCACTGAATTTTGTGTTACTCAGCTTTTTTCACATAAAAAAATGGGGATAATAAAAATGTTCCCTTCATAAAACTGTTGAGGGACTAAGGTAAGTATCTGCTTTAATTCTCATCTCTTGGAAAGCCTTCAAGACTATGCAAATATAAATCATAATGCAATAACATAAACGTAAATCTTAATGTAATAAATCTTAATGCAGTAACTCAATACCAGAATGTCTGAAACAGTTGGGTTAGGCAAATGGGCTGCAAATGTTATTTAGTTGGTGTGTAACTGCCCTATGTTGAATGAAATCAAGCTACCCTAATTTGTTGTTCATCTACCCTGTTGAGTATAAATATTTATATCTACACAGTACATTGTACAACTCCTTAATGTCTACAGAATATTCTAAGGATTTAAACATTTTTTTTATTGGCAAAAGAATTTCTACTGGTCTTTTTACAGATTAATACTAAGAAATGTCTCTGAAATAATCATTTATCTGAGCAATTCAGACAAATACTGAATAATGCTCACTTTAGATAGAGTTGAGAACAGAATAAAAGGTCTTATTGATAAAAGTGATTCCATAAGTATTTATTGAATGTAAAAAGAATGAATACATAAGCAAATAATATCACGGCAGCCTAGGATTTAAAATTTGGTGTGAGAAGCAAGATGAACACCCTTAAAATGCATCTGGGAAAATGTCCCTCATTAAGTGTGTGTTTTATGCTGTGCACCATGAAACACAATTGAAATTCAGAGGACAGAAAGCTAACGTGGCCAAAACCATTGAGGGAGAGAGGACAATGGCCGTGGGTCTGCCCTGGTGGACAGGAAGTCTCCTTCAGCGAAGCATTTTTAGCCTCTTGGGAAGTACTGAATACTCAGCTTTGTTTCATTCTCAAGTGATCTCATATCAAACATTTTCCATGATTGGAATCCATGTAAGGCAATTACCAATATCGTTTTTGTGTGTCTGATGGATAAGTAGTTCAGACCTTTCGTGGATGGTGATATTTTGGTTTCCGAAGTAAAAATGCTATATCAGGGGCATCATTTTCAACATTTTTAAGCTGGTAAGTAGACTGATTTTCTCCCTCTGCCTCTCTTCTCCCTACCCATCTTTGGAGGATCATTTGAGAAAGGGTGGTGTTTTGCCTGTTAAGAAGGCCATGGAATGGACAGTGGTCACCCTTTTCTGAGAGCAGTATTTATCCATGTTTTCTGGCTTTTCTTTCTCCTTATCAACAAGCACATTAAAGTCCTGGTGAGCTGCGTGACTGAGGCTTAGCCCCTAAACATCCATTAAACATAGTTAAGCTAAAAACATTACAGAGACACACTGCTGGTACAGCCTGAGGGCCTCACTCTTGCTCTGCTGTTACTTTTATGGAAGTAGAAGCTTCTACCCTGAGATGTGAGATTGGCTTTTAGGATGCTCTAGCTTTGTATTCTCCTGCCAACTGCAGGGAGACCACCTGGGTATAACTACGCTTGAACCTTCTCTTTTTGAACTCCACAAGTTCGATACTGTAATGAGATTTTTTATAGTCCTATAATAGAAAATTTCATTATGAACTCAAACAAAAGTCATATTTCCCAAACTGTGTGTCCTTGTCCTTGGAGAGTTTGTTACGGCTAGTGTGGAAGGCCAGCTTAATAAATGTTCAATTATCACAATAGTAAAAATAATCCTCAAGTTAAATCCCTGGGTAGGTCTGCTACTATTAAACATACATATATTTCCTTTGCTGTCAGAAGCTCCTGGATCCCAGCCTCCCCCGACCTTGAAGAATTCTCAGGATCCCTAAGGTTTGTGAATAATTGACACCTGAGCATCATTAATCTCAACAGCTTCATTGTTCTAGCTTCCCTGTAAGCACAAAATAATCTCTTTGCTACTTACTGATATAAAAGCTGAGTGACTTTGCTGATTGACTTTTTCGGGTTTCACAAGATCCTGAGGAACTAAATGTTGTGACAGATAGCTTATATTTCCCAGGCTCCTTCAATTCTGCGACGAATTCATGTGCTTCTTCATCCACGGTCAAATATTCAGTAAAGTTATCTAAACCATACATACACACACAAAGAGAATATATCTGAATTGACATATGGAAGGACCCTGGGTATAGACAAGCCAATTAATTTAAAGTCATTTGGGCCTCTAAACTAAAGGCATTATAAATGAAAAAAGATGGATAAAAGTTCATTTTTTTCATACTTTAAAATACCAAAACTAAAATATGGTGTCCAAATCAATAGAACTAGGAATGGACATACTAAATATCTTATATATTTTTACTCAATAAAATTCTGTGCACAATAGAAACAGAATGGTAGGACAAGATAGCAATCATTGGGTTTCTCATCTGATAAGAAATAATTACTACCATGTATCTTCTAAGTTCCTCATTGCAGCATTAAATATCCATAAATGTTTTAAAATATATTGAATTATTTCTAGTTAGAGAAATATGTCACACCATGTTTTTCCTTCACCTGTTTTCTTCCGGAACCTTTAAAAGTAGGAATTATTTTACATTGTTTCAGAGTCTATCTCCTGCTGCTTTATTAATTCAGTTGAAGTCATTATCATCTGTTGGTAACTACAATAGTCTTCAAAAGAACATAACTGCAGTCAGACAAAGGCATGATTGAATTTGCAAGGAAATAGGCATTAAAAATATTCTGAGTTACAAGACACTATTTTTCTCAGAATAAATTAAAGAAAAGACAAATAAAAAATAGGTTAAGGAAACTATTGTTTTTTAAATTAAGAAATTCCAGACAAATAACTTTTGATTCAAATAATTATAATTAACCAAGGATTTCAATTTTATATAATATTTGAGTGTGGTTGATTGCACTATCATTTAGTATAAAAGAACCCAGTCTAGTATAGGAGATACATCTCATTTTATTAAATAAAATACGAACAAACAACATCTCATATATGAACCTGCATGATTCTAGTGTCCTTCCATGAAAATCAGGCTGCCATTGTAATTTCAAATTTCGACAGCCTGACAACCTGCACTACCCAAACTACTAGACTGGAAAATAGCAAATGACATATGTTACTGTAAAAACAAGACAGACAAAAAATAGCCATAAAAATCTACCAAACATTCAGATATGCCATGGCTCTGTTTTCATGAATTAGTGGGCTACAATAAAAAGAACAGATTTGAAATGCTTAATAAATGAATACAAAATATGATGCAGTTGTTACCTATTTTGCTTTTTGCTAACAGCTCCTCTTTGGGAAAACCTGAGCACTGGTTCCAGAGGGGCACATCCCATAAGGAATGAATAGCTGGGAAGGCAGGTCACAGGTCTCAGACTTTTATGAACAGTAAAGATTCTTTTGCTGTGGATTTCATAAATTTGTTCCAGAATATTCTATAATATTTTGTAATGGCTAGATTCTTAATCTAAACTGTTTCCCAACATAAGGTTTTTATTGGTGACCTGGGGTATGTGAAATGTTAGGCAGTAATATCTGTATGGTTTTAGTAAAGGGGACTTGCGAAGCACCCCAATCTTCTGATCTACCTTATTTATTTTGGTTTCCTGTTTTCAATCCACATTGGATACTCAAAGACTTCTCTTTCTTCCCATTTATATTTAGATATGAAGTACCTACCTAGTGGTAGTTTCTTTCTAATCTCAAATCTAAAACCATTTTAAATTTCCTTTTCTTTGCATCATTTCTTATTTCCTCTGGTCTCCTGCTGCCTTACCTTCTTTTTCTATGAGAATATTGAATCCATCAAAGGCAGTAGGTGGTTTTGGTGGTAACCAGCTCAATATCATTTGAACAGGGAAGAAAGAAAAAGAGCTTGCTGTTGACTTCTCAGTCTCACTGAGTGTATTATTATTTTCGTATTCTATGGGAAGTACACTGACAAATTCATCTTCATTTTCAGGAGTTGCGGATGCACTGTCCCACCAATAGGGCTGAGATGTGGTTTCATAGTCGCTGCTGTTAAAATCAGGCCAACCAGAAGAGAGATTGCCAGAGGGAATCTCAGGAGTTTCATCTGTGAAGTGGAAGAGTTTGTGTTTCCCTGTTGAATCTTGCGATTTTAAGAAGGATTCTTCTGGGAAATTGCCACTCTGTTCTTCCCAGTTGTTCTTGTTCAAGTTTACAAAGCGGACAGAAATATTTCGAGGTGGATATGGGGCTGTAAAAGAGAATTTCAATTTTCAAGTTACTTTAACTCTGTTATACTGGAAACTAATGAATCAAACACATTTACAACATAAAGTTTGATTTCACTTCTAACATACAGACAAATTTACATGAAGAAAATCTCTAGTTTTAAGTAGCCATACTTCTAATGTGTGTAGTGGATGATGTGTACATATTAGTAAATCATCAGTTATTCTGCAAAAGTATTAACTTATGCTTGTTGAAGTGGTAATTTAAGTATTTCTAAAGAAAAGTTATATAAATATTCTTTAGTTTATCACAATTTCACTTTTTAATACAAAGTGTCTCAGTCTCTGGATTTTTATTTAAAAAGTCTAAATATAATTTACTTGTAGCTACCAAGATAAGACTACGTCAGTGACATAGCTGCACCTAGAATATCTGCATACATGAGTTGGTTTGAGAGTTGTTGACACATGTGTTGGAAATATGGCTTTGCTCCTCACTTCTCTAAGATGAAACGTGAGAACAAAATGAATTTAGGAATGAGGTAGAAAATTATAAAGACACTTCATGGTTTCTAACTGCAATAGTTTCTACCTGTTCCTCACATAGCAGCTCAAATACCACCTCTTCAATGAACTTCTAATAAAAATTTATCTCTCCTTCCTTTTTACTATTATGTAACTTTTTACCTCTTTGATGACATTATTTCATTCTGCCTTGTATTACTGTCATTTGTACAATACCTGTACCACTTTTTGAGGACAGAGGACCTGTCTCATCTCACTTTGTGTTAATCTGTTTTAGGACTTAGAACAACTTCCAGGTAGAATGTGCTTAATCAATGTGTCTTTATTTAAACTGAATAATAAAAAAGACAAATAGAATCTTGATGTGGAGATGAGGTGAATTAGCTAGTTAGCTGAAATAGTTTCCTCATATTAGCCTAATGAAATGACAGTCATGATATCTTAGAATTTAAAATTGTAGGGGCCGTTGGGTGATCTATCAGAATCTGTTTCCAATTCTTATAACAAGGGCCTTCTGAGCATTCATTAGGCATACTCAACATTGCTTATATTGATGATGGGTATTCAGTAGGTATTATTTTATTTGGGATACTGGGGATTGAACCCAGGTGTCCTATACCACTGAGATATATCCCCAGTTCTTCTTCTTTTTTTATTTTGAGGCAGGGTCTTTGATAAATTGCTGAGGGTCTCTATAAATTGCTGAGGCTGGCCTCAAACTTGTGATTCTCCTGCCTCAGCCTGGGATTGCAGGTGTGCACCAGAGCACATGGCATTTTTAACGGGATCCATTCTTTTCATCCATGCATGCATCCATTCATCATATAATACTTCTTCACATTACTGATGCTACTAAAATTTAAGCTCTGTAAGTTTTAAATATCAAAGTCCCAATATTTTTCTTTAATAATCTGATAGCCTGTACTACAATGTCTCCCAACTGCTTTTCTGCTATGTGGGCATTTGTCAGAGTATAGGTTAGAGAATAACCAATGTCAGGTTATAGGATAACCAATGTCTATTAGATCCAGTTAAATTACTTAATTATAACTTTTGGTAAAAATCATATATTTTTTATTTAAAGATTATAGATCTAAGATTACACTTGGTTCCTTTCAAATTGATTGAAAATTTATTGTAGTTTGTTAAAATATATATTCATTTTCTTAGCTCTTCAACATTATGTTTTTTAAAAGAATAAAATTCAATATACAGCAACATATAACTTAATTTTTTTTTTTTTTACTAAATTTGCTTCTTCAGAAGACTTACCAGTTCTATGTTGTTTGGGTTCATGATTGACACCACTGTACTCCACAAGGGTACTTTTATTAAAAGTCGCCTCAGATACCAGCTGAAAGGTAATGTTACTATAACAAATTCCTGGCAGCCAGTGATTAAATACTGTTTTTCCCTTAAAGAAATCTGTGAAGAAAAAAGTCAATTACAATAAAAATAGGATTTTCTAAATGTCATATACTTGTAGAAATTTCCAATTACGATTAAATATCCATAAAATAATGTTCCCTTCAACTTCTGGCATGGTCAGTAAAAAAATAATTAGAACTAGAGATCAAATTTTGAATCTTTTTTACACTGAATCCTGAAAGCCTTTCTGCCAGAATTTTGAAGGAGATTGGACATAATTGGATGTGGTGCTGGGGATTGAACCCAAGAGTATAGTTTTATTATATGAAATTTTAGTGAGACATTATTGAGATCAGACTTATGCTAGTCATTTATTTTAAGGATGAAAAAACCAATATTCTGCCACTTCATGACAGAATAAATAGTAATTTCACAGAAAAATATTTTCATATAAAAACCTAAAAATTAGCTTACTTTTAAAGTAGACTGGTTTATCTGCCAATTGGCAGACAGGGCCTGTTCTAAAGAAGAAGATGGAAATTTGGATTCAATTTGGAACATATTAGAGAAAATAATATATTTAAATATCCAATCCAAGTTAAAAGAAATAAAGGAAAGAAATGACAAGCACCCAGCAATGTTGACTTGATTCTTTGAATAATTTGAATTATTCAATTCCCATGGGCTATCCTCTTTCTCTACACCCGGTCCCCATCAGGCCAGTAAAAACAGTGAAAATAATTTTTGTGTGTTAATGCAATTATTAATTTCTTTATGTAGGCAAATATATTCAAAGAAACAAAAAATATTGCCTTTTGCATTTAAAAATAATCTTGTACCATCTTCAAACAAAACTTTGTAAAATGTTGCCTTTGTCAACCAATTCTAGAAATGCCTTGTATTATACTCAGAAAGAAATGGGTAGGCAAAGTTGCTTCTAAACTTCTTTGAATTCATTTCCTGCACCAGGCATGGTGCCTTTGGCAAGAATAACCTATAACTGAAAATAATTTGAGTACTTCTCATATGGTATGCATGACTTGTGATTCTCAGCTAATGAACCAGATGTTCTGAGACTCCTCATAACAAAATTTTCATGAATCAATAACTATTTTTAATGGCTCATTTATAGGTCAAGTAGTGAATTATAAAAAGTCTTTAGAGTAAGAGAGGAGACCACTTGGAAAAAGTCATGTAATAAGTAATAATCATTACTCTTTAGTCTTTCTTTTGCCTCTTACCTTTGTATAGCATAGTCCGGAAGTCCTTGCCTTCCCAGTAGCTTATGTTTACTCTTGTGAAAACATTATATTTCTCTGGATAATGGATTTCGAACAAGACTCCTGTTTCAGGAGAAGGTTTATAGTCATATATTGAAACACTGGTAACAGGTAGAGGTTCTATGGAAGGAAAGTAAACGGAGAAAGGGAAAAGGAAAAAGGAGAGAAAGTCATCAGTATTTGAAGTACCAAGAATTACTTCTAGAATTTTACTCATATTTTTATGTTCTCTGAGCACTGAGCTCCTCAGTTCTCATGAGTTGAGTATTTTCTTTAGCAATAATTAATAAACTCCATTTTACATGGCACTTTCCGCTTTTCAAAAAACTTTCAGATTCACTTTTTGTCATTTGTCATTTGTGACAGCCCTGAGATCAAGACAGAACAAATATTAATTAAAGCTCAAAAGACTAAATTACTTGTCATTGACAATTTAACAAGTTTGTGGCAGCATCTGTATCTCTAGATTCCTAGCTCATTTTTCTTCTCCTTATTCCAAGAAAATTTGATGTTAATAACAAACCAGTAACAGAAAAATACATTTTGGCTCTGGCCAATGGTAAATATTTATGTGATCATTTATTTCTTCATAGGAACTTAGCATTTTTTTTCTATGTTATGCATAAAATTGTGAAATACTCAATTTTGTAAATGACAGTTTAAATTGTTATCAAACCATTCTTTCTACAGAAGCTTAAAATTTATTCTAGTTTGCTTGAGCTGTTAATTCAACACAAAACTTTTTAATCACTCATTAAAAAAATTTTTGATTGAAATATGTCTGCATTTCCTCCATGTTCCTTTATGCAGCAAAATTCTTAAAAAAGAAAAGATGTGCCCCCCCCTTCTGAAGGAGCTACTGGATAAATTTTACTTACATTAATTTGATTAAAAATATTTAAAGTAATTTGATTTGGAGTCAACCATTGTGTTATTAAGTAAAAATTTTTAATTCAAAGTTTGGAAGTTGGGAGGATTCTCAGACATCATCTATAGCCCAAACTAAAGCAGTATCCTTGGTTTAAATTTTATAGGTTTAAAATTTTAGTTTCAATAACATAAGATGCCAAAACTTGATTTAGTTCTTTCAACAAATAATTATTGAGAATCTTGTTTATTTCAATCTGTAGCTGAATATAGTTCATTCTGTTCCTGAGGGCCTTAACCTATTTTTTTTTTTTTTTGCTTTTGATTAAAGAGATTGAAAGAAGATTGAAAGTACATGTAAAATCTTTGAGTTTTCCTGAATTTTATGGAAACCCAAGCCAATATCTATAAAAAAGGGAGGCTTTCACATTGTAGTATATTTTGTGATCCTGTCTCTGCAGACTGTACTGTATTCTCTGGTTTAAAAGTTTGTTTTATCCTTGTCCCATCCCTGGTCTTTCTACATAAAAGTTTTATTTCATAGTGTACTTAGTGTACTGTGTAAACAAACAACCTTGAAGATCTGAGGTCTGGGTTCAAAACCCCCAGAGAATAATCTGAAGGTCTTTCTTTCAACTCAGCCTAATCACTAATCCAGAGAGTCTATTCTATCTAGCTATGAACTCTGGATGTTAAAAAAAAAAAAAAAAAAAAAAAGGTGAAAGCTAAGAGCAAACAAAGGAACCACGGAGCTGGACCTCTTCCCCTGCTGCAGCCCTGTTTCACACCCTCACCAAGGTTCCCTCCACTGAAAAGGGAAATTAGAGGTCCAGTCAATGAGGTCTGCACATCAAAGCCACAGTTAAACTTTCAAATGCAAGTCATATATGCGGATTTATTTATTTTCAGGATTTTACTTTCTTTCCTTTTTTTTTTTTTTGGACTGCTGCAGAGCTACTTAAACTTTAAGAGAATTTCTAAAATGTCTGATTGCATGTTTGTTTTATACATTTCCCTCAGCTTCAGTGTAAATGATCCCCAGATCAGCTGCAAGTCCTCAACTCCATGCCTAGTCATTAATGAGGTGTATTCTGTTTAAGAATTACTGTTTTCAGTAGAACCCAGGTGCATAGTCTCCAAATTTTCTGTTATCTGTCTGGTTAGTTGTTTCATTATTTTTCTTTTTGAAAAAGAAAAAAAAATTCTTTTTAAGTGATGGGCATAAATCAGAGGTGTAATTACCTACATGTATTTCAGTTAATAAAAGGTTAAAGCCTGATCTAATTCCATACTCCAAGTGGCTATCAACCACTCTGCTGTGCTTCCTGTTCTTGATTTAGGAGCCAGACTGGACTGGACAGAGAAATGGGGTAGCTAGAAAATGTGAATCACTTATGAACTTTGCTTATTATTACTTTCTTCAGGACTTTTAATATTTCAAATAAAGTAAGCTGCATGAAACAGCTGAAACTCCCCTATATAACTTACCTGGGACCTCTAACATGGCCAGGAGTAAATTGTTACTCTGAATTTAGTGTTTATCTTCTGATGTTTCGTTTTTTTAAAAAAAATATTTGTATGTAGTCATCATTATTTCATGTTTTTATATATCGTGTCAATAGAACTCTGTCCTGCAAATCATTCTGCAGCTTGCTTTTATCACCTAACATTCTTTTGAGAATCATCCATCTTGATATATCTTTAGAAACTTTTAGATTCTGAAGTGTTCATTTTATCACTATATAAGTTATACAATAAATCTGTAATTGCTTTGGTAGATACTTGCCTTTAACCATCCAGTCTTATGAACACTGCTGCAATAAGTGCTTGGGCATGTCTCCTTAGGCTGGAAATCCTAGATTGTAGGATATGGGTATACACATTTTCAGTCATAGAAGATATTGCCAAATTGTGGTCTAATTTGATTATGTCAATTGACATTATTATCAGCAATGTATGATAGTTCTTGTTTATCCATGTTTTTCTCCAGCAATTGCTTATGTTGGTTTTCCTAATTTTTGCCACCATAAAGAGTATAAAATTTTGTCTCATTGTTTTAATTTCCTGCTTATGAAGGAGGTTGATTATTTTTTAACCACTCAGATTCCCACTTCTTAGAACTATTTGACTTTTGTCTGTTTTATGGGTTCTTTTTCAATCTTTTCCAACTAATTTGTCATACAATCTCTGTCATATAGTACATTACCTTTGTCATTTCTGTATGTGTATGTATTTCTTAAAGATTCACCTTTATTTCTTGCTGAAATATGTCTATTATGAGTTCATTAGAGTTATGGGTGTTACATTCTCCTAAGCTTTGTATATTATAAAATTTCTTTGTTCTTTTTTTATTCTTCATGTAATTTTCGACATAGCTGAATATAAATTCTAGGTAGACAGATTCATCCCCAGTACTTTGAGAATATTGCTTCCTTATTCTTCTTGCACCAATTATTGCAGAAGAAAAGGCTCTGTCAGCTTGATGACCAGTCCCTTGCAGATACTATGCTCTTTACCTCTGGTATCTTCCAAGGTTATATTTTTTTTCCTTCTAAATTTAGCCTTGATAAACTGCAGTTTTGCCATCATATACTTAGTT